AGATTACATATCAATTATTCTTATGAAGTAAAATAAAAAAGAATCCTAAATAAAATATTAGTTAACTCAATTCAACAGTACATTAGAAAACAATGAATCATATCAAAGAGTTTCTATACTAAGAACACAATGATTCAAATATCTAAAAATGTATTTCATCATATTAATATAATGAAAAAAAGAAAAATTCATTATCTTGGTAGATAAAAAAATAATTTATTAATTTCATATATTCATAACAAAAGCTCTTAGAAAATTTGTAGAAAAGGAAATTTCCAAAACCTGATTAAAGAAAAAATATAAAATAAAAGGGACTAATAATTACACTTATCTTTAAAGTGCTCATCTCTGCACCTGGTTTATAAATACTTAAATTCATTTTTAGTATTATTCTTATTGATAAATTTTACACTTATTTTCAAATGTTCTTTATAATGTATCATCTGTGCTATTTTTTCTGGGTTCTAAAATGTTTTGTTTTAAAAATCGCCAGATAGCTGACCAACCAATAAATCAATGTTTTACATAATTGAGATATTATATTTTCGCTCTAAACTTCAAAATCCTTATATTTTTAATAAAATTACAAAATGTATAATTATCTTGAACTCCATTTTAAGTTGCCTGTCTTCTAAAGTATATTTACCAACATGAATAAGAAATTGCAAAATAAACAAATAAAATACAGTACAACCCAGATATCACTAGGGTGATCATTTTATATTCTATAGGACTATGTTTAAATTTTAAATATATTAGTCCAGGGTCTTTTAAACCTGTATTGCAGTAAGCTGTATACATTTATTCTAGTCATACATCCAGAATTATTTTTATTCTTGGAATTATATTTTCTATGTAACAGATGAGAAAAATTGAAATTATAGGATATAGACAATCTAAAATGCAAAGTTGGGTTTGAGAAAGAATTTGTGATTCGCAAAGTTGGCAATTGGAGCCATCTCCAACTTAAACTCTGTCTCAATGAAAGTTTATTTCCCCTCTACATAATATTTAGTATTGTACAAAGGAGAAAACATAATTTGATTTTTATCAAATAATGCCAATCTATTGCTTGAGGCAAAAATTAAAATTAACTAAAACTTTAAAAACTTCCAAACATCTGAATATCCAGACATTCAAAATATTTCTCCAATATTTACCTTCATAAGTAGACAATATTTCTCCAAAAGTTCTTGTCTGTGAGCCAATAGAACAAAGGTCACAGATATACCAGCAAAGAGAAAGCGGAAACAAGGTAAAGATAGATGGTACTCTGTACTGAACATCAAGTTTCATACATTGAGAGATGCTTGGCTCAATTTTGAGGAAACATGCCCTAATTAAATTCCAACACATTGTTGGTAATTTAAGTGGAGGATACAAGTTTTATAGGGCCTGTTTCAGAGCCGGTTCCTCCAAAAATCAGATCTAAAACACGGGTTTATGTGTGAGTAGTTTATTTGGCAATGTAATCCCAGGAAACAGTAGTGAGGGACAGAAAAATGAAACAGGGAAGTAAAAAAAGCAAGCAATAAAAGTATATAGTTGTTCACTGCTATAGGGAACTGTTTGTTCCATCCCTCAATAATCTCCTGAGAAGGTTAAGAAATGTCTCTAGCTACCATCTGTCCACTGGAAGGGAGAGAGAGGCATTTACCCATCAGCCTCCATGCCCCACACTTAAGTTGCACATTCATGAGTACAAAGTAGTCCCCATAGGTCACCCTTGGCATGATGTCAGAGAAGGCCTGAACTGGAAGAAAAAGGCACTCGGCTCAGATCTGACACTCTGAGATGCAGGGGCAAAGCGCTGCCAGGTTCACTGGCAAGAAGATGGTGGAAGCCTACGTAGAACTGGTTGGTACGACAGTGTTTGAAATAGAAAGATGATCAGAAGATTTAAAATGATACATAAAAAGTTATTTATTAACCATCTTCAATAGAGGATATAGATAACTTTCCTATAAGATAATTACTTTTCCAATCTGTCAATTTGCCAACAGAATAGCTGAAAAGAACAATCTTGTCTTTGGAGACTTATGTATTTGAGGCACAGGGAAAGAGGTGGGCAGGTAATGGTTAGAATATAACATAAACCCTTGTTCTTAGAACTTTAATATTATTGCCTTAAGACATTATCAATAAAATAAATTAATAAATTTAGTTACCTAATCTTTAACTCAACAAAAGAAAACTTCATGGAACATTATTAAACTATATTTTATTTAGCCTGAGTTTTTTCCATATATTAATTTATTAACTGACATTATATTCTCATTGAAACTCTCTTCTGGGCTGTTAATTCAAATCAACATATTTGATATTGAGTAGTCCGTGTCAATTTCATTTCTAAGTAACTCATCTGCTTGGAGCAAAGTAATAATCAACCCCTACCAGGAGAAAAAATTAAATAAATAAAAAGAAAAACAAAACCAAATAGTAATCCCTAATGCCTCAGTTTCATAATTAATATAAACAAAAACATGTTTAATCTGCTTGCAAGTGCAAATAACACCCACAGCATATTCACGGCTCACAAATACAATTTGTGAAATAATTTCACAACAATAAAAGAAGAAAACAATTTTATCACATTTTATATTTCAAAAAGAATAATTTACTATAACTTTAAGAAAGGCAATTCAGAAGACTTAAGTTACAATGGGAGAAATACAATCAGTTCAGCTTCCAAGAAAAATTATAGCAGTAACCCTATTATTATGTTTAATGATATCTTTTAAGAATCTAAAGGACTTTTAGTTAAATATTTCTCTTCTCTTTCCTTTTCAGTTAAAAGATATGGATTATTTCAGTGAAAAGAATGCATATATTCATATTAACTTGAAAGAATGACAAATTGAATGTATTGATGTAATTGTTACTATCATTATTTCTGGTGGTTGATAGCATTTACTGGCATAAGTTTGGAGAGAATATAGCAAATGATATCACTTTCAATCCACAAGTAACCTACAGACTCAAATTCTTTGCCATCCTATTCCAGTGGGCTACTCTGATTTGCAACAGTTTTAAATAACACTCTGCCTAGGATAAAATTATCTCTAGTCCACCTCCCTCTGTTTGTGTTCCCTTCATCATTATGTGCTTTCTTTTTTATTGAGGAAAAGCCAGACATCCCTTTGCCTAGCAATGCCCTGTTGGCCAACTATCTTCCCATGCAACTCCTAGAGACTGTAATTGTCCTTTTCATATGCCATCCTTTCAGGATTTAAAGACATAATTTACAATAAATTAAGAGGCCATCATAATGGATTAAAGATGGCTACAAATTCTGTAACTCTTCTCTCATTGAGAGACAGGGTCTATTTTCCCTCCCCTCAAGTCTGAGCTGGCTTGTGACAGCTTAAACCAATAGAGAAGAGTGAAAGCAGCACACGCCAGATTCAAGCCTACCCTTAAAGAAAACTGACAGCATGTGAAGCTCTGAACCAGAACTTTAGGCCAAGCCACCACCTAAGATGTTCAACTCCCTTGCCAGAAAGACCACAAGGAGAATTTCTGAGATTATGTGGAGAGGAAGAAGGGCTCAGCTGTGCCCACCAATATGCCAAGTATATTAATAAAGCTATTTTACATATTCCAGATGAAACTAAAATCCAGTGAAACATCATCAAGCATCCCTAGCCAATGCCAGATGGCACAGAAGAATCCCCCAGCAGAAACCTGCTTGAGTTCATGAGTCACAAAGTCATGAGATATGATAAAAATGGTAAGACTCTGCATGTTAAGATAGTTTATCTGGCCGGGCGCGGTGGCTCACGCCTGTAATCCTAGCTCTTGGGAGGCCGAGGCGGGCGGATTGCTCAAGGTCAGGAGTTCAAAACCAGCCTGAGCAAGAGCGAGACCCCGTCTCTACTATAAATAGAAAGAAATTAATTGGCCAACTGATATATATATAAAAAATTAGCCAGGCATGGTGGTGCATGCCTGTAGTCCCAGCTACTCGGGAGGCTGAGGCAGAAGGATCACTCGAGCCCAGGAGTTTGAGGTTGCTGTGAGCCAGGCTGACGCCACGGCACTCACTCTAGCCTGGACAACAAAGCGAGACTCTGTCTCAAAAAAAAAAAAAAGATAGTTTATCATTCATCAATTAGTAGCCAGAATAATCACATAGCCTTTTTCTTCCCATGTCTGACAGATTTACCTCAGCATTACCTGGAAGAGAGAGTTCCTATTGTTATTATTGCTATTTTTAATGTATATTACTTGAACCCATTCTTAGGATATTTTTATTCTGTAGATTTAGAAAAGAGCCCAGAAATACATATATTTAATACATCTTATATTCTAAGTTCATAGTTATCTAGTCTCTGCTTGAACATTCCAGTGGTAGAGTTATAACCATTTCACAAAGTAAACCCAGTCTTAATTACGGAAATGCTTTTGCTGAGGGTAGAAGAGAGTGATTCATAGGCCAAGTGTCTCTGAAAAAAAAATCTGTGACAGGAATTCATGAGCTACTAATGCTCTGCTATTAATCAGATTCAACTGCATTGTATGTTTCTTGTGGGCCAGCTTTGAACTGAGACTCTTGGTTCAAAAGCTTAAGAGAAAGAATCTTGATGGGGACAGCTGAGCCCTTCTTCCTAGGACTTAGTTCATCTCAGCTCCGGACAGTCCTCTTTAAGGACCCAGTTCATCTAAAGGACAGAGCACTTTATGCCAAACTTTGTCAAAGACAATTGATCAGCCTGGAATCTGTTGTCCCTAAGTAAAGTGCCCACCATGGTACAATAAGCTGTGGCCATGAAACTAGCTCACTGTGAAATATACCTAACATCGTTTCTTTCATATTTAAGCCTTTACTATCTGGAAGAAACCTATCGATTTTCCATATTCTATAATCTACTCACCTGTGGTTGTGATCATCAAGGGCCAATTGGAAGACAGAAAAAATTCACAGAAGTTTTTTTGTTTTTGTTTTTGTTTTGTTTTGTTTTAATTGAGGCAGAAGATAAAGAACTACAAAAAGTGAGCAGTTCTCTAAAAACATAAAGCTTGGAATACATGAAGACTCTCAAAATCAGAAGGAGCTTTCAGAACTATTATGATTCTACACATCTGCTTCTGGTGATGAGATGGATTCTCTCAAGGACTGTTGCACCAAAAGGAAGGAAAACCAGAAACATATCTGCTACATCACAGGTGACACCAAGGGCCAGGTAGCTAACAGCCTCCATGAAACGTCTTCGGAAGCATGGCTTAGAAGTAATCGATATGATCAAGCCAATTGATGAGTACTGTGTCCAACCGCTGAAGGATTTTGAGGGGAAAACTTTAGTGTCAGTCACCAAAGGAGGCTTGGAATTTCCAGAAGATGTAGAAGAGGAAAAAAAACAGGAAGAGAAGAAAACAAAGTTTGAAAACATCTGCAAAAGCATGAAAGACATCTTGAGAAAAAAGTTGAAAAGATGGTTGTCATCAAACTGATGACAACCGCATGCTGTATTGTCACAAGCACATATGGCTGGAGAGCAAACATGGAAAGAATTATGAAAGCTCAAGCCCTAAGTGACATCTCAACAATGGGTTACATGGCAGCAAAGAAATACCTGGAGATTAACCCTGACCATTCCATTATTGAGGCCTTAAGACAAAAGGCAGAGGCTGGCAAGAATGACAAGTCTGTGAAGGATCTGGTCATCTTGCTTCATGAAACTGCACTCCTGTCTTCTGGCTTCAGTTTGGAAGATCCCCAGACACATGCTATCAGGATCTACAAGATGATCAAACTTGGTCTGGATATTGATGAAGATGACCCTACTGCTGGCAATACCAGTGCTGCTGTAACTGAAGAAATACCACCTCTTGAAGGAGATGGTGACATATCATGCATGGAAGAAGTAGACTAAGCTCTCCCTGAAGAATGACTTGTATATGTGTTCAATACTTCCTTCCCTCTGATAATATATTTCAAGGATTTTTTTTTAATTTTTAACATTTAAAACATCTGTATGGCATGACAATAACTACTTTAAGGGGAAGATAAGATTTCTTTCTACTTCTAAGTGTGATACTGTGATACTTTAGACACTGAAGCAGAGCTAGTAATGCTTTTCTGGTTTCACATTGGCTTATTTTAACAAATAAAGGTAAAATGTTGTAAGATCTATCTAACCTATGTTAACTTTGTAGCCTAGAGTATTTAGCTACTAAGCCAAATTCCTTAACAGACCAAATCTTTCATCACTGAGTAATCCAAGATATATTCTGATTTTTAGAAGAAAAGTATTTATTAAAATGACTTGAGTTCATCTTCTAGAATCTACTTTTTAAGCTTTTCATCCCCCCTTGTAGTTCCTGCATGTACTCATCCTCTAGAAATACATATGTTTAAAGTGAAACAACTTTAAAAAAAAAAAAAAACTCTATGCAGGCATGGCTTGTTTTCCAAAGAAAAGTATTGTTTAGAGGAGCAAAATTATGAGTCCTACCCATGGGTGTTGTAAAGCTGTTTGAAAAGGGAGGCTTGTGAATGGAAATGTAGTGCCTGAGTCACAATCCACTTAAAACGTGACAAATACAGATATGTTTAAAATAAAAAGTATTTTTAATCAAGATAACTTAATAAAAAGAATTGTTACCCAGGTATGAAAAAACTGAAAATGCAAAAGAGAACACTAAAAAGGTATCACTGAAGTAGTAATTGCAGCTACCATCCTAAGTCTGAGGAAACAAAGGAAAAAGATGGAATTATTAAAGCTTAGAAGTTTATGAGAGGGATTCCACAAAGATGGGACTCAGACCTCTGAGGAAGGGACACAGCATTACTGGTACTGATCCCTCATGAGCTCGGAACAGGAAACATATGGGACCAGGACACACAGCTTTGACAAGGAGGTACTCTGTGTATTGCTAGATTCATGCAGCAATAGGACTAAATAAATCTAAATAAAACTAAAAATATATGTAACTATTACATCATTTGTCAGGCAACTGTATTCCTATCATAGGCATGGTAACAGCCATGCCACATGGTAAATTTACACAGAGCTTTCAGTGAACACTAGAACCTGTGTTTTCTTTTTTAAAATATGACTTGCCACTCTAATAGGTTTTACCCAATGTTTGTTTAGGTAGCTGAATTTTTTAACTCAGGTGCTAAATTACAATTTTTCCAGAAAGATATGCATGCTTACTTTTGGTCATTCTACTCAGATGTTTTTTTCCTTTATCACGTCTGTAATGAGAAACACACATTGTCTCCCTCAACTTAATTCATTTAGAGCAGCTTGGTGCTCATTTGCTGGATTCTCACCTACTGTCCACTTTCATTTCTCTACATGTGTTTGATAATAATGAATAAAGAAGCAAAGTAGGTGTCAAATCAAATTTTTCTGAAACTTTTTCCATGAAACGAACCTCTTTCTTGTTCTTTCCCACTTCTAGACAGAGCTATAAGATACATGTTGTGACGTCTTTACCACATTTTCCCAGGCTTCACTCCCCTTCCGTAAATGCTGGTTTGTTCTCTTCCTTAGCCTTCATCCTTGCTTGGCGAGACATACTTACACTCATGTATCCTTTACTTATTAGTAAAAACTGAATTTTTTTTAATCAATATCACTCTAGAAAAGAAAGAGGGACACTTATGACCATGGAAGTATATGCTGGTGAAATTCAACAAAGCTAGAAAGGAAGTTGTGGTCAAGTGTTTGGAGTTAAAAGGAGAGATATTTAACCAGAAACATTTATATGAATGACCAGAAGGGATTTGTTGTTGTTGATTTGTATCCCAAACCTATCTGGAAACATCATTGAAGAAAAGCCCTGGATTATGTTTTTTGGGGGAAAAAACTCCCAGGTGATTTGCTGTGTACCCCCAATTAAAACCAGAACTTTAATGTGTCTCAAATCACCCTTTACAGAAAACGTCTTTCTCCATATCCAATCTCAGAAACTCTTTACCTCAATGACCTATGAAAAATATTCTATCCTATCAAATGTTTCTAAATAAATATTTCTATCTTAATTAACAAAATTTATCACTAAAAATAATTTTCTTTTAGATAAATACAGAAATATTTTTGTTATCCAAGTGTGCATTCTTGCTTAGTTCTTTGGTTTAATAGCTGAAAAGAATTAATGGATGCCTATCTGTCCTGGGCACTGGATGGGCCAATGATTTGTCAGTTTATTCATCTTAAAAATGAGAATAATGAACACTTTTCATGTTTTGGGTATTAGATGAAAAATACTTACTAAAAAGATAAATGTTTAATAAAAAGTAATTCCCTTTCTAAGTATTTATGGCTAGAAATTCCTGTTTTGATTATGTATACTATGTGTAATACTATGACCATATATTAAGTGATAGGCACTACAGAAGCACTACACAAACAGAGATGGCTATGATGTGATTCTTGTCCCTAAAAATACAGTCTTATGTGAAATAGAGACATTGGAAGATAGCCCCTTCTCTGAGTCATGCTCTCATGAACTCCTTGGAAGTCCTCAATTCTGGCATTTTAATTAGTACTGTTCTACCTGCACAACTGCACTAATTACCCTCCATCCCTGAGGCAACCGGAACAACTTATTTCCCAGTCAGACTGACCACACTTGCTACCTGATCCACACATCTATGAAATCACTGGCATGTCCCTGAGAGATGGCTGTACAAGGTTAGGACTGTCACCTGAACATAAAAAGCCAACTGCAGAGCTAACTTGAATATACCAGACTCAGATCCATTCTTTGCCTCACTAGAGCCTTATTAGCAAAACATGAGCTCATAAGCCACAAATATCAAGGCTAGATATTACCTAAAGAAAACCTCAGGATGACTAGGAAGATTTGTTAAAATACATACTAAATATTTCTTTACTACATTCTTTCTGGGAAGAGTTAAACACAAAAAGATAATAAGAGCAGCCATGGATGGTGCTTTAGCATTTACTGATTCCTCTATTAACTCAATCTTTTAGTCCTCATCAAAACCTTGTTGGTGGAAATTTAAAATGGTAAAGTCACTTTGGAAAACAGTTTGGCAGTTTCTCAAAATGTTAAACATAAAGTTACCATAAATGAAAAATTATCATGTGAAGCAATTCCACTCCTAGAGTTCTACTCAAGAGAAATGAAAACATATGTCCACATAAAAACCTATACATAAATGTTGGTAGTAGCATTATTCATGATAGTCCAAAATGAAAACAATCCAAATGTCCATCAATTGATGAACAAAATGTAGCATATTCATACAATATACAATATTATCTGGCTATAAAATGAGGTATTACTGAATGCTACAACATGGATGAACCTTGAAAATATTAGTAAAAGAAACCAGTTAGAAAAGACCACAATTTATATGATTCCATTTATTATGAAATTTACATAATAGGCAAATATATATAGAAAGACAGCAGATTGGTGCTTACCTAGTGCTGGGGGTGGGAGCCTGGGGAGAGAGGATGGGAATGATGAGTAGTGACTGCTAATGGCTACAGTGTTTCTTTCTGGGGTAATGATAACATTGTATAATTGCATTATAATGATCCTGTACAACAGTGTAAACGATCTGCGGTTGGTTTAATCTGTGAATGCAGAACCTAGGGATACGGAGGGCCAACAGTATACTAAAAATCATTGAATTGTATATCTTAGAAGGGTGAACTTTATGGTACGCACATTATATACCAATAAAACTGTTTAAAAGAATATACTTGTTGCTGACTTAGGTGCCATGCTCATTTATAAATGAATAAAGGAGATTCAGAAGCTATGTGTTTTGTTCAAGTTTCAAATTCTAGAATTTGCCAAAACAGAACTCAATATCTGGTTCAAGCCTAATGTTATTCCCACTTTATAAGAGTCTCCCTGAGACTCAGAACTAAAGCTTATTCAGACTACCAGGACAGTGAAAGAGCTTGTAAATCATTCCCTTCAAGGAAAAATTAAGGGTGTTAAAGATGATAGGCCTCAGATAAACAATTACAGTAATTTTAAACTATTACTATTTGTAGTGGTGTTCTGTGGAAGAAAAAGTAGCATTAGTTTGTTTTTCTGCAAAGACATAACTAGAGTCTAATAATGTAAAGCTTAGGACTAGACAGAAGCATTAGGTCAAAACCTTATGGATAAAAACTTAAACTTTGGAGCAATCAAAAGTACAGTTTGAAGTACAGCTCCAGGCAAAACAGGTACAAGTACTTAACCTCTGTAATCCTCAGTGTATTCATTTGATATAATCCAACTTTTTAACATAGAGTGCCCCTTGGGTGGTCCTTTAGCAAGCACTCAGTAGCTATAAGGAATGTTTAGTGTAGGCCACCTCGTGTGCCCCTCCAGGACTCTGGACAGGGAATCCAGATTGGAGATACTGCCAATCCCCAATCTTGAAGATCATTTCCTTCTTCAATTAATATGCCTTGAGATCACACAGGTAACTGACTTTGACCAAAATTATGTCATGATAGTTAGCTCGTATAGAGATCTATACAGCTTCCTTAATGAAAAGAGAAGCAGCAGAGGGTCAAAATAGCAGAAGCTATCTGATTGCTAAGTTGATAAAGCCTCATTAGAAAAGAGACATAGACATTAAGACTGGAAATACCAGAAGAAACCCAAAGGACCTGGAGATTTTTTAAAATACATATTATGTCTTTTACTACTTGGTTTCTGGGGGAGGAGGGTTGGACAAAACAGAATAGTGATGAGAAAAAGAAAGCAAACTTAACACTCATGGGGATAATATCACCTTCTACTTTACAAATAAAACCATCATATATGAACATCACACTAAAATCCCTATTCCAGACAAACACAGTCTATCTTCATGTACCTTGTGCTTGCCACCCATATCTGTGAACAGGACACCTACCCTCCTTTTGTTGAAAATCAATCTTTTTATTCTGGTTCCAAAACCATTTCATTTCAAAGTAATTCTTTAATTACATCCTTTGTTTCTTTTCTCTTTCTCTTCTCCTTCTGATGATTCTTTTCCATTAAGCTTATACAAGTCCTGAAGTCTATTTTTCCTAGGGGGGGATTTAAAAAAAAAAAAACTCATTTCTATGTCCCTTCATAGTTGAGCTACATGACAAGAGTCTTTACTTGTCTTCACTTCCTTCCCTTCATTTTATTCTTCATACCTTTAGAATATATTCACTAAGATCACCAATAACTTTCATGATTTTAAAAAGTCTTTTTTGATATTTGTTCTCCTTTAGATT